GCGAGGCGACACTTTTGGATTGTTCCCTTTTGTTGAAGTACCACCCTTGGTATGCCTCCCTTGCATGGTGTGGGGGGTCACGACACAAATGCGTTCGATACGTCAATTGCACCCTTCCCACCCCACACAGCCACACACACACACACACACACACACACCACAGCCCGTCGTTGGTGCCGGCCATCCTTAGACGCATTTCTCAGACCTCAAAGTACGAACACGACGTTGATGATGTTGGTGGTGGTGTTTGTCAAAGATGCTGTGTATCTGTGGTGTGTTCCTCAGCCACTAAATTCTTGGATTGCAACGCAGACATTCCACCACCATCCCTCACCATCTTCCCCCTCCCCCTCCCCCACATACACCCTACTGTGCAGTGTGGCGCAGGCGTGCCTGCGCGAGATCTGCGACCACGTGTTGAGCCAGCTTGGATCGTACAGTACAGCGTGCCTCCCAATCGTCATCAAGTTTCTCATGCAGCAAGGTGGTGGCGGTACTGTTGAGGGCGGCGAGGAGTGGGAGATGATGTCAGAGTGTGTGACAGTGTGTGACGGTGATCTCACATGCGCCTGTCTGCAAGTGTCACTGCGGCTTGTTCTCTCGCAGCCGATCCCTCACATGCCTTCACACACACACACACACACACACACACACACACACACACACACACACACACACACACACACACACACACACACACACACACACACACACACACACACACACACACATGCACGTTGATGTTCAGCGGATGAAATGGATGTGATCGCGCTGACAGCGAACATGATCGCTGACTCCTCCACCATGCACACGGCCAGCACCAACAACAAGGCGACGATCACCATGTGCTTGTCTGTGGTGGTTGCCATCAAGAACGGGCTGGCATTTGATGCGCGCATTGCAAAGGCGTGGCTGCGGCCAACTCAAGACTACCATGGCCCAGCCGATCACCGCCCTCGACCTGCTTGTGCTGCTGCTTCACCACCAGAACGCCCACCGCCGCGGCGCGGAGACCACCGAGGTCAAGCTTGCAAGCACGGGCCGGCTCACCGCCGCCATGGTCGCAGCCATGTTTGCCAGACACACGCGCGCGTTCTCGATGTACTTCAAGTCGATTGTGCACATGGCGGACATCCTGAGCCAGCGGCAGGGGGCCGCGTGCCGCGACCTCGCCTTAACGGCCGGAGGTGGTCGGGGCCCTGGTGGCGCACATTGGCACGGGGCAGGCACAGGAGGTGGACGCAGCCATGCCTGTGCTGCTACTGTCGCTGGCCACAGACCACCCGAAGCTGCTGCACCCGTTTGCGCCAATGCTGAACGGCACCCTGGACTGCCTAAGCAACCTGCACTTCAACTACATCCGGCAGCTCTTCCATATCCTGACCACGCTCAGGTTTGACCGCCAGCGCACTACCGCCGCAGGCCTCATTGACGACGAGAAGGAGGATGGTGTGTGTGTGTGTGTGTGTGTGTGTGTGTGTGTGTGTGTGTGTGTGTGTGTGTGTGTGTGTGTGTGTGTGTGTGTGTGTGTGTGTGTGTGTGTGTGTGTGTGTGTGTGAGTGTGTGAGTGTGTGTGTGTGAGTGTGTGAACTTGTGCGTTGAGGAAGGTGTGTTGGATAACATAATGTCCTTCCATGCAGAATGTCTCTCGCCCTTCACACCACCACCACCACCACCACCACCACCACCACCACCACCATTCCTTCTGCATTGCACCCCGTGTATGACAGCTGTCTCAATCGAAACGCATCGGCACCATCGCTGCCATCACCGTCACCCGCACCTGGCTCGCTCTTGCCAACGCCGCAGACATCTCCATCGACGGTGTGTTCGTGTGTGCGTGCGTGCGTGCGTTTGCGCCCTTGTTTGCGCCCTTGTTTGCGGTTCACCTGAGTTCCCCGTGTGGACCTGTCGTGCTCCTCCTCATCCATCACTCACCCGTCTCCTCGCTTGTCCAACAGGCAACCATCTCTCCTCGCTGTTGCAGGCCTTGCAGCTCATCTATGCCGACAAGTGCGTTCAGCTGACATGCTCCGTTGCCACCACGTCTCCACATCCACGCCGAGTCATTTGCCCGTCTACCGTGGCGTCGTTTCCTCTCTCGCTCCCCAGCACCAACAACCATCAAGAGCAAACACGTCTGTTGGGATGCGTCAACGGGGATGGTGGGCTCACCATCGACCACCGCCGCCACGGCCGTTTGGGTTCAGGTCGCTCACCGACCCCGACGTACCCGTGTGTTGGCCGCCGAGACCCCCAAGCGCATGTTACAGCACCGTCAACACCATCAACACGATTGTGGTTTGAGCAGGTGGACGGGTGCGCCCCAAACTCAGGAGACGTGCTCTAACGTCTCGCCCGAGGACACGCGCGCGCGCGATGTGGGCAAGGACACGCACGCGGTCGTCAACAAGAAGACGCTGCAGGCGCCGTTCGAGACGAAGCTGCAGCTGCCGTCAGGGATTGCCGCCGTGTTCGTGGGCACAGTGCGCAGAAAGACTGACGAGGAGACAGGGTTGCAGAAGCACGCTGCTGGAACGCAGACCTCTTCACGTTCCTGATGTCGCTGCAGCCCTTGGGATGGTGGGACCTGTCGCTGGGGACGGGCGACCTGAACCCCGAGGAGGAATTAACGGTAGCGGAGGTGCAGGACGAGAGTTGGGCGCATCCACGCGCTCAAGCCGGCGTTCTCGATTGGCGTGGGCGTGCAGCGACGACGTGCTGTTCCGCACGGTCGGGGACGGACAACGAGTCCAGTCTGGCGACCCAGCCCTCTGACGAGGCTGCTGGGCGTCGTGCACGTTGAGCGGCCGAACCCGCTGCCTGCAGATACTGTTGCAGTCCAACGTGCTGACGGAACTACTTTTCCACCGGCAGCACCCTGGAGCTGCTGGTGCGCAAGGCGGGCGTTGTGTGCTTGGACGCGAGGGTGAAAGAGGACCTGTTTGGTTGCCAGTGTTTGGTTGACGTATGGTATGGTAGGTTGTTTGCTCGTTGTCAGCCGGTTGGATTGCGTGAAGCGTTTACTAAAGCGACAAACAAGCAACGTCAAGCAAGTCAAAGCAAGTGGCAAGCAAGCACTTGAAGGAAAGACAGGACCAAAGGAGCAAAGAGACAAACCAGCAAACACAAGCACACACACACACACATACACACACACAAACACAGCACACAGTCAAGTGGTGGCGTTGATCCGGCTGTTGATGGCGGTGCACCAGTCTGCCAGCGAGGTGTCAGAGCGCGCGTGCAGGCGGAAGACGAAGGTGCGACCAGAAACAGCAACGTGTAACTCCTCGCCACCATGGACAAGCTCAGCTGACAGCACGCTGGAAAGGGGGATGCGCCCACGTTCTGCCAGGGAAGGACCCTTGCTGTACGTCAGGCGGTCGTCGATGAGTGCGCACCAGCGAGTGCGAAAGGCGGCCCTTAGCCGCCCTCGCTTCCGCAACCAGCCGATCAGTGGCTCACCAGGGCACTTGCAAGCGTCCTTGTACAACGCTCTTGCTGGTGCAGAGCAGCCACGAGGACAATCGTGCCCAGTCTCTGTCTTCTTGTCTTCACCGTCACTGCCCGTGTTTGCTGGGCGTCTTGCCTCAGCGTGAACCTGTGCAACTGCACCGAGAAACCGCATGAGCAAGTTGCGTTGTGGAGCAAACGCCTGGTACACAACAGCAGACGAGATGAACCGAAGAAGAAGGTTGCGATGAGCAAGCACGTTTTGCTGCTGAAGTTGAGACTCTGACACGTGTTGCGTGGATGTGTGCTGCCTGGTCACAGCACCACCGCGAATGCGCTGCAGGTTTTGCTTGGCCTTGCGGGTGTTTGGGTGATGTGGCCCGAGCGTGGTCGCAAAAACGTCGAGTGCATGTTGGATGTAGGCGCAGGCCTGCTCCTTGTCCCCGCGCTTGGCGTGCAGCAGGCCAATGTTGAAGTACGACGTGGCCGTCCCTGGGTGCTTCTCGCCCAACGTCTCCACTGTGATGGTGAGGTCCTTCTCGTAAAACGCAATCGCTCTGTCGTACTCGCCCTTGTTCTTGTAGGCGATGCCGAGGTTGTTGTACGTCTGTGCTGTGCTCGGGTGCTTCTCGCCCAGCGTCTCCACCTTGATGGCGAGGGCCTTCTCATAACACTCAATCGCTCTGTCGTAGTCGCCCTTGTTCTTGTAGGCGGCGCCGAGGTTGTTGTAGGTGCTCGCTGTGGTCGGGTGCTTCTCACCCAACGTCTCCACCTGTATGGCGAGGGCCTTCTCGTAGTAGTGGATGGCCCTGTCGTGGTCGCCCTTGCTGTGGTAGGCGGCGCCGAGGTTGCCGTACGTGCTCGCTGTGCTCGGGTGCTTCTCACCCAGCACTTCCACCGTGATGGCGAGGTCCTTCTCATAAAACTCAATCGCCTTGTCGTACTCGCCCTTGTTCCTGTAGGCGTTGCCGAGGTTGTTGTATGTCACAGCTGTGCTCGAGTGCTTCTCCCCCAGCGTCTCCACCTTGATGGCGAGGGCCTTCTTACACAGCTCAATCGCCTTGTCGAAGTCGCCCTTGTCGCCGTAGGCGTTGCCGAGGTTGCCGTACAATGCTGCCGCGTTTCTTCCTTTCTCCCCTTCAGTGCGCAGCCGAATTGCCAGCGCTGTCTCGTAGTAGGCAATGGCCTTGTTGTGCTCGCCAAACTGGCTGAGCACCGTCCCAACCTGGCCACACAGCCCCGCGAAGGCGTCAGTGCTGTCCTCGCCTCGTGCCCGCATGGCTTCGACGGCACCCACCGCCTTTTGCAGGCACCACGCGCGCAGCTTGTCCTTCACGGCCTGGTTGACTGCGCTGAAGCCACCCGCCCACGACTCGATCGCCGTGAAGATCATGTGTTTGTCGTGTGGGTTGAAGGCGTCGGCTCTTTGTGCCTGCACGCGCACCAGCGTGTCTGTGACGGCTTCATAGTCATCCGCGATGGCTAGGACCAGTTCTAACTCCTCGCTTTTGGGCAAGCGGATGCTGACCTCTGTGGCCTCGTTACTGATGCCACAGAAGATCTCCCACAAACACCACGCGCGTGTCAAGGGAACAGGGTCCCGCCACGGCATGAGCACCAGCAGCACATGGCCAATGTTGGCAATCGACTGCTTGAACGTGGTACTCCACCTGGGTGTTGAGAAAGGAAAAGGGGAGGGGGAAAGGGTGGGGGAAAAAGGAAGACGGGGAGGATTAGGGGAGGGGTTGTCGTTCTTGTGAGGGAACAGTGTGCGTGTGTCTGTGTGCGTGTGGCAGTGGTTGTTGAAGAGCGCAAGAGTTACACACACACACACACACACACACACACACACACACACACAAGGGAACAGTGTGCGTGTGTCTGTGTGCGTGTGGCAGTGGTTGTTGAAGAGCGCAAGAGTTACACACACACACACACACACACACACACACACACACACACACACAAAACGCACCACTCTTGTGGGAGGTTGGCCGTGACGTTGGCGTTTTGGTTGTTCATGAAGAGGTCAAACCAGAAGAACACGGGCTGGGCGGCGTCCTTCCTTGCTTGCTCATCCGCAAACTCCAGCAAGACGTTGAGCACGTCTGCAATCTTGTACCGCCATGCGTGTGACACAAACACGGTGGCCTTGTTCACGTGCTCTGGCGACTGCTTGCGCAGCTGCTCGACGTAGGCGCAGTTGTCCTGGCGTGTGCGTGGCACAACCAGTTGCTTGCAGGCATCCTCCGTGGTCATCTCAGTGTATGTGTCGGGGAACTCGCGCTTCAGGTCTGCGAAGAAGGCCTTGATCGCCTCCACAGACACGCCGTCCGTCAGGCGGTGCTCGGAGGCCATCGTGGCTCTGTTGTTGTAACAGAAGAACTGAAGTTGAAGGCTGATGTGCGGAGAAACGCACAAGCTTGCGGTGGCGCTGCTTTGGAGGGGGGGGGGGGGCTGGGAGGAGAGGAGAGGAGAACACTGACAACAAGCGCAACAGCTGAGAAATGAACCCTGCGCTGCTGCGCAGCTTTGCTTCTTCTTGCTGTCTTTCGTGAGGCCACGCCCCAATTTCTCCCAATTGCACTCCACCGCAACCCAATGGAACGGGCCCAAGTCAGTTGGTCAACGCAGCAGCGAGAAGCCTAGAAAACGCACCCAGACGCTTTTCAGCGTTTCGCTTCGACACCGCAAACAAAGACACACAACAAACCTTCTAACCTTTGGGTGGCGACTGAGACGCGCCACTTCCAGAACGGGTCCTTCTTGGCGCGCTGGCTGGGAAAGTGCGTGGTCGACCGACTTTCGCCTCGCCTTTCGCGCGTTGGAGCTTCAGCGCCACAAGCAGGCTAGCGGCAGGCACAGGAACCAAGAGGAGGAAGGACATCCCCTCGAAGTTTGCACGAAAGGCTTCTCCCTCAGTCTTTGGACATGCTGGACGTTGGCGTGTGTTCTGTGTGTTGTGTCCTCCAGGTGCAAGAGGAGAAAGCACACGTCTACACAGTCCTACAGCGACACCACTAGACCACTCCTCCGTCTCCGACGCAGTGATTCCCAAAGAGAAAAACCAAAGACCACACGCACTGGCACAGCTCGGGTGTGACGTTTGTGCTTTCTTTCTCTCATTCTCTTCTCCGTTCACCAGTCCTCCCCTCGTTTCCTTCTCGAGCACCCTTGCCATCGACAAGCAGGCCAGCGTATCGATCGACGTCATAGCGTCCGACCCAACGCAGCCCAGCCCAGGCAGCTCCCCTTGTCAAGCAGCCAAATCTTTCCACGCTCCTCTGCTTCTTCTTTCCAGACCATTTTCCCACAGTCGCACACGACCTCAAAACACCATCAGCCTGCACGCTGCACAGAGCTGCGACTCACACAGAGCGACTCACACAGAGCAGAACCAGTACAACACAAGTACAACAAACACACACACACAGACACACACACACACACAACCATGAACACCACGGTTATGGCCAACACGACCATGTTCCCGACCTTCAACGGGACCAATGTCACCACCAGTGCAACAACAAACATGACGAGCACCAGCATGTTGACCTCCTCCCCGACCTCGACATGGACGACGGGCCCCTTCACCACGCAGACGCCGGCGCCAACGCCGATTCCAGGCAGCCTGGACACCCCGTGGTACTTCAGCGACGTGCTGGACCTGCCTGCCCTCATCTTGTACGGCATCGTCGGCGCTAACCTCGTGCTCAGCTTCATGGCATGGTTCATCCTGAAGTGCTGCTTGCATCGCCCGCGCTCGGCGCGTCGCGTGCGCTTCGTTGCGCCCATTGTGCATTTCCTCATCTTCTTCCTGTTTGAGTTTGTGGTTCTCTGTGCTCGACTTCACGCCTGGACCACCAACGACAACGAGTACACGCCGTCGTGGACGGCGGAGGGCGAAATGGTGTTCCCCGGTCCGGCGTTTAGCTCAAGCCTCAGCCCCGATTTCCTGCGCGAGGTTGGCTGCAGCGACTTTATCTTGACCAATGGCACGACGAGCACACTGGAGCCGGTCGGCCCCAGCGAGTGCAGCTTGGGCATCCGGATCGGAGCAAAGCTGTCGCCAGGCACGGTGGCCACCATCAGCCTGGTCCTCGGCCTGATGGGGTTCGTCCTGCTGGAGATGTTTGTGCTCCTGCTGGAGATGGAACTGGAGCGCCTCAAGCTGAAAACCTTGGTGATGTTGCCCTCGCTCAAGGCCGCGCTGAAACGGGACATTTCCGTCGATGACTTCAACAACTCCCGGGATGAGGACTTTGAGGAGGAGGAGCAGGGGGGCTGGTGCAACTGGTTGAAAGGCTTCATGGTCAAGCTGCTGTACAGCGTGGTGTTCCTCGTCATCGCCAGCCAGCAGGCCCTGGTCCTGTTTCCGCTCACCAACGCCGACTTCAACGACTACTGCATCAACCTGGGCAAACCACCAGGCATCTCTGTTCGCGACCTCGTCTGCTACCACAAGTACAGCCTCTCCGGTATCCCCATTGGCCTACCCATGCTCCTTGGCGGGCGTCTTCTGTTGAAACTGGCCAACTCCTGTGACGAAGACGAGACCGACATCGAAAGCGTCGACGGCGTCATCAACCTGGTCCGCCTCGCCATGTACATCGCGGGCGCCATCCTGGTCGTGATTGGTGGTATTCTGTTTGGGGTTTGGCTCGTTGGCGGCTTCATCATCGGCCCTTGGGTCCACTACACATCCTGGGCCCAGAACCGCCTCCTTTTGCTTGCCGAGGCCCTCGCACCAGCACTCTTCACCCTCATCACTTTTGTCCCAGAATGCTTGTCAGACTGATAGTGTGTGTGAGTGTGTGTGTGGGAGGGGGGTGGAAGAACAGTATTGCTTTGCGTGTTGCATGTGTGTGTGTTGCTTTGTGAGTGTGTTGCTTTGTGAGTGTGTGTTATCATGGCTGTTTGTTGTCAATGATCCCAATCTTGCTGTCACGTTACTCTGTGCCTTCCGTTTCATGCGTTGTTTTGTTCAAAGTGAACGTTTACTTGATGCCATGTCACATCACATCATTACAGCACATAAAACTTCGCATGACTTCAATTAACGTACTCAGGACGAGGGACTGCAAACACAAACACAGAACAGCATCCACAGCAGCAAGCAAAGAACGCACACATACACACACGCGCGCGCACGCACACACACGCACCAACAATCAAGCATGTATCTCAGCGGTAGGGGCGTGCGATGATCTTGATGGTTGCGCCGTCCACGTCCTCGTATCGGAGGCCGGATCCCGTACAGTAGTTCTTGAGCACGGCCTTGATCCTCGACTACAGACAGCGAACACACGTGTTGCACACAGCACACAGCAAGTGAGGACGCATCAATGGTTTAAATGCACGAATGCAGATACCACCATGTTCCAGCAGCACGCACGCTTACGTCGTTGCCGTACTGTCCCGATCCCGTCACAAAACAGTAGGAGCAGGGCGCTTTCACGCCTGTGCGCCGTCGGGCTGGAACGCATGCATGAAGCATGGAACAGAGGTGAGCGTGTGCGACAAGCGGAGTGGAACGCGTAAATACCAAGGGAACGTTGGTACGAGTGTCCGAAATACTCACGCACACACACACATGCACACGCACACACACACACACACGCACACACACGCACGCACGTACACACGCACGCACACGCACACACCCGCCAAACACACACAAACGAGACTCACCGTTGGCTTCAGCGATGAGCACCCTCACTTCTCTGACAGCGGCTGTCACACACAAACCGTGCAAGTCGTATGTGTATTGAGGAAGGCCTGCGCTGTTGCGCATCATGAGCGCATGTTCTGCTGCCAGGGCTGCCTTTGGCGTGTGTTACCCATACGTGGCCGGCTGCCTGCTGTGACGACTCTGTGCGCCAGCGAGCTTCTTCTGCTTGCAATTGATGGATTGTTACACAACAAGAAGCATGAGAGAGTGTGTGCAAGGCGCAGTGGAGTGCAAACAAGCTGAAACGTACGATAGCCACGGAGCGCAGACGCAGCAGTGACAGCAGCCTTGACAGCTTGACGCATCCAGCATTCACAAAATTGCGCATGCCTCAACCATAAACCCATGCTCGCGTGCACGCACACATCCACACACACACGCACACACTCACACACATGCACACACATGCACGCACACACACAGCATCATCTGCAACCGCGCCGCACGTGTTTGAGTGGTTCGCGCCTCCAGACACGGAAAGTCATGGGCAACACCGACAATCGTCAAATGCGCGTTTTGGTGCAAATCCAAGCCAGAGCGAAATGATCGCAATGCTGTGTTTGAGGACCGAAGGTTTGGGTAGGCTCACGATTTGGATGGGAGAACAAAGAGAATCGTGCCTTCGAATCCTTCGAATCAGTTCGATCCATCAAACAGGAAGCGCTCTTGTCCGAGTCCTGGACAATCTTACCCCAAGTCATGCGTTGCTCACGCGATTTGTGTCCTTCCAACCGCGAGGGTGAGACACCCACAACACGTGTGTTGTTGGTGGCTCACTCAGCACTCAACGCGTTCGTCCAGCCCGCGTTTTCTCCCAGCCAGCCCACAACACTCAACGATCAACACCAGCCCAAGCGCCACGCCAGGCAGCTGCCACAAACATCAAGACTGCCACTCACGAGCGCACACGCATACACGCACACGCCTACAACACACAAGACAAACCATCACAAGCGTGGTGGCCGAGAGCACAACTACTTAGCAGAAGACATCGATCGACGGGTCGCCGCTTGTACTGCTTGCGGTTCTGCGGTAAGCGGTGGATGTCACTGCGCCAGCCACGATCAGCAAGGCAAAGGCAAAGCGCATCAAAATGAGCACAGCAGAACTGGTCCTCGACCCTCCAGCGCCGTATGTGCATTTGGGCGACCACGTGTGGCTCGGTGCTTCTCCGCAGGACACCGACACGCTGCATAAGAATGGCAGCGATGGACAGGGCAAATATGTGCTCGCCAGCAGCGACAGGTAAGCTCATGTGTGTGTGTGTGTGTGTGTGTGTGTGTGTGTGTGTGTGTGTGTGTGTGTGTGTGTGTGTCCGTGTGTGTGTCCGTGGTGTGTGTCTGTCTGTCCGGCTGTCGTCCATGTGTCTGTCTGTCCGGCTGTCAATGTGTCCGTGCATCCGTGTGTCCGGCTGTCTGTTTGTCTGCCTGTCCGGCCGTTCATTTGTCCGTCTGCGTGTCCGTTTCACCTTTTCATAGTATTCACGAGGTATGCATGCGCATCATCATGCAACGACACGCCTTGTCACTCCTTGTCCTCCACTCTGTGACAGCACAAGGCTCGGCGGATTGACCCTGAATTGGTGTGAGCAGACCAATCCTCCAACCTTGAGCAACATCTCAACCGCCATGTTTGAGTTTCGGCCTCGCACTGTCGTTGAAATGGATGCGGACGAAGACGAGCACAACAACAACCAACACCAACCCCAACAGCACAGCCACCACCAGCCACACCAACAAAAGCAACCAGCAGCTGAACACAAAAAGGTACACCCCATCTTCGTTCATGTCATCACGTTGAGAAGCCGTGCTCTTGTGTGTGCGTGTGTGTGCGTGCGTGTGTGTGTGGAGGAGTTTTGTGCAGTATGTGTGCATGTAGGACGAGCACACACACATACACACACACACACTTCCTTGGCTGCAAGCCCGCGTGTGTCACTGACATGCATCTGACCTTGTGCTGTTAACTGCCTTTAGCGAAAAGAGGTGCAAGCCGAATACGATCACAGCGATGAAGATGTTCGCTTCTGCAAAGGATACGCCGTGACCTGCGGGCAAGCGGTGAGTGCTCCAATCAGATTCGTTCTCACGCTCTTCGCGAAGTGGCTGTTGAGACTGCCCTGCGTTGACATCACAAATACACGACAAGCCTTGCAACGCCTCGAGTCTGCATGAACAGATGATGGTCTGTGACATCACACTCGCCTTTCTGCTTCAACGATTGCACAGGTGACACTGTACCACCCGCATTCTCGGAGATATGTCGCCGTCAAGCGCAACACACCAGCACGCACGGAACCAAGGTTTGCTGTGCGCACAGCTGTTGATCTACTCGTGCTCGGTTTTTCGGAAGACGCTCAGCACAGAGACGCACAGCACGAGCACGCGTGCACTTGAACACACACACACTCACACAACACTCACACTCACACTCACACTCACACTCACACTCACACTCACACTCACACTCACACTCACACTCACACTCACACTCACACAACACTCACTCACTCACACTCACACAACACTCACTCACACTGACTTATGCACATGCAGCAACTTGCGGGTTGTTCTCGTGGGCGACCCAAGCAAGGCGTCCAATTTCAAAATCCAACCGTCCTCCAAGCTTCGCGTGGAGGGTGACCCTGTCCTCACCGATGACAAGGTTCATTAGCCTTGACCCTCATCGAGCTCGCTGACTTGTGCATGTCCCAAAACCACACACTCACTCAATCACTCACTCACACCCTCACTCACACACACACACTCACTCACATACTCACTCACCACCACCACCACGAGCATGCGTCTACACGCTGCATGATGCGCACTGCTAACTTTACCCCATCCATTGATTCACCTATCGCGCGCAGATTTCTCTGGAGTGCGCAGACATCCCGGACCACTTCTTGAACAAATCCGTCAAGCCAAACGAGGGCAAAGACTCGTAAGTATCTGTCCACGGGCCACTGAGTACCATTTTGCATGTCTCACGGGTGTATTGGATCCCTCACAAACATGTACGCGTGCACACTGACGCACACATTCATGCACACATGCTCACACACGCCCATAATCACACACGCGCGAGCACAGCTGTGTGTTTGAGGTGAATTGCGCTGTGACACGGACAGAGTTTACAATCCGCGAAGCTGCTGCCGTGAAACATCGCCGGTATCCCTTGCAATACCACCCCTACCAGGACGACGGACGGTGTGTGTGTCTCTGCGTGTGTGTGTGTGTGTCTGTGTGTGTGTCTGTGTGTCTGTGTGTCTGTATCTGTCTCTGTATGTGTGTGTGTGTGTGTGTCTGTGTGTCTGTCTGTGTGTCTGCCTGTCTGTGTGTCTGCCTGTCTGTGTGTCTGTCTATCTGTCTGAATGATTGCCTTTCTTCGTCTGCAGATGCATGTGTGTGGCTGTCTGTCGACCTGTCGACCACTGCCAATCTGTCCGCTGTGCATTCCCAGTTGTGAGCTTCCACAACCGACTTGAACTCAGTTGAACGTAAAGTTCGTCCTCTTTCGCCTTTGTGCAACACTGCGTGCCCTGACACTTCGTCCTGCTTTCATTGACGCCATGAGCAGGATCCGTGGGTGCGACATGGTGCAGCTGTATCACAGAGGATTGAGTGCGTACATGGCAGCCGAAGGGAGCTTTGCACTCGACGAGGTACGCGCTACTTTTGTACACAGGCTCAGAGCCGAACCAATCGTTCTTGATGAATTGCTCTCGCCTTCCGTCTTGTTGGGTGTAGTGTCATGAAAGGGATTTCGTGGTTTCCCATTGTAGCATTGTGACTTATTTCTCATTCACCATACGTCTTCGTTGATACCATGCTGCGACACATCAGCCGGTTGTGAACGACAGGGAAGGCGAGGAGGACGTACACCTTCGACTGCGCCCACAGAACAAACGCCAGCCGCGCACGCTTCGCCCACCCACCACAGCAGTAACGGTATGCGTTGCCTCACAAAGTGTCCTGTGCCTGTGATGGCGTTCGTCTTGCCGCGTTTGTCGTTCACTCCCTTCGTTCCTTCCTTCTTTCCCCTCTTCCCTTCCTCACTCCCTCACCCCCCCCCCCACACACACACACACGTACGAATACAGTTCTGGCAGGTGGAACTCGTCAACAATTCATGTTGGGGCCGGCCAGTGCAGTGGGAACACGACCCTGACTTGGATCGTTTTAAGACACAGCCTCTTCGTCTGAAGCATGCAACAACGCAGGTCAGTCTCTCGCCCTGCCGCACGCGTGGTTGCCCAAGACAGCATTCACAAACAGAATTGTATCCCGTGCTTGCTTGCTCCGCCAACCGAAACACCACGCACTCACGCTGCTGGACACTGCGTTGCCTATGTTACGCATCAGCTGTTCTTGTCCTTCGACGACAACCTCAAACCAAGACTACAGCGCAATCCAGATGACAGCACGTCTTTCCAGCTTGCACAGCTTGATGATGACACGAGCGTTTCTTCCTGCGCCACAGTCGGCATCCAACATGTGAAATCAGGTGTGTGCAACTGGAGACTTGCACATCATTGTCGCGTTTCCGTTGGCGCAGCAGTCTTCTCACCGCAAGCCTGCACAAACCATGTTCTTGCTCATGTCACATTGTTACTGCAGAACAATGGCTGTATGCTGAGTTCAACTCGGACAAGGATCGGTTCAAGCGCAAAGAGGCCGAAGAAAGCATCGCACGAGTATGATGAGCTTGCCCTACACTGTTTGCACCTCGTTGTAACTGCAAGCCCGCCCCATGGGATGTTTGCTATTTGATGTTTACGCAATTGCACACGCACACACACACGAGCGCGCATACCACACTCGAACATATCCATGCTTGAACACACACGCATACACACACACGCACGCCCACACACGCGTACACACACGCGTACACACACGCGCACGCACACACACACACACACGCACGCCCACACACGCACACACATACACGCACAAAATGGTACACGCAGTGGGACGGTGCCACGCTGGTCAAACTGAAACTCCGAGAGCGGGGTGGCACGCGAGAGTTTTGTGACGTGTTTCAAGTGACACTTGTGAAGCCGTCACAAGTGTTCAGCGTCGGGTACGCTCCCTGCTTGCGTCTCCTCTGTCGACTTGGAGCACCAGTTTGCAGTGCTTGCTTTGAGCTCCTTGCTTGTTCATCGCATATTTATGCGACATGCTTCATTGTTGTGTGATAGGTTTGTGGCCGGCGCGCTACCTGCAATTGCCACGTACATCAAGGGCTTGGCCGGCGAACAAGTCGGCTCAGCGGCACTGGCGCCCAAAGCATTCACCTCAGGTTTGTGAATTGAGAACCAGGCACGGCTTGTGCTGCTGGATATTGGGTGGTTGTTGTGTGTTCCAATTATTACCCACGCATGACAAGCGTCAGGGATGGTGTCCACAGCAGCACGGCAACACAGCACGGCAACACAGCACGGCAACACAGCACGACAACACAGCACGACGACGCTCACGGCAACGCTCACATGGTGACCAACGCTCTTGCAGCTCTGCGTGATCTGGAGTCGTTCATGTTCCGCGACAACAAGCCCGTCCGCGAGAGGCAGAAGCTGCTCCGCAACTTCCACGTCGTAGATAAGCTGGTTGAATTGCTGAGCAAGTCCATGGAAACCCGTGCAGGTACAGCAGCACTTTCACCTGTGCGCCCTGTGACGAAACCTGACACCGCATACAGAACAGAAGCACTCGTTTGCCACTGCATCCACATGTAGGCTGCCTGCATCCTATCACCCGGTGTCATCCTGCAACATACACCTTCATTGCAGGTTTGGACCCAGGCCACGGGCACACGAAAACCCCAAAGGTGACCGCTCACCTCATGCACCAGTACACCGACCCCTGTTTCATTGACTTGTATCTGTGTACTTGCTTGGTTTGCTGACTTCCCCGCTAGCTGACTTTCTTACCTCCCCACTTTCTTACCTCCCCACTTTCTTACCTCCCCACTTTCTTACCTCCCCACTTTCTTACCTCCCCACTTTCTTACCTCCCCACTTCCTTGGGTGTTCTGCAGCATGTACTCAACGCAGCATGCAACGTGTTGAAAGCGTACGTTGTTGGGAACTCCCGAAAGAACGAGCACTACTTGGCCAAGCATATCCCCTTCTTTCAAGAACACGTACGTGCCATGTGATTTGTCAACACAGGCTGGCAGGTTTGTCGTTCATGACGTCGAGAAACCTGTCCGACTGTCACCTTCTCACACGCACCTGCTTACCTCATTGTCTCTGCTCACCCCTGAATCCCCTGCAGATGGGCGCTCCTCTCGAAATTGAAAGTCTCTACACGGAGCTTGTTCGCGATGATCTACAGGTTGTAGACAGCCTCAAAGAAGACGACGTGAAGCAGATTGTGCAGAAGCTCAAACGCATGAGCAGTGCTGACAACGCGCATTCGGATAAGCTCGAACGAGAGTTTCTGATGTTCCTTGGCGTTCTCTGTGTTTGCGAAGATACGCCTGTCCCAAGCAAGCAGAACACGATTGCCAGGCTTCTCTTCGATGACGAGCATGGTACGTGGACGCGTGGATGTGTAGATGTGTGCATGTATGACGAGGAATACACACATATGCGTGCCACAACACAACACAACACAACACAACACAACACAACACAACACAACACAACACACACAACACCCTTGTCTTTGCATGCCAACATGAGGCATGTTTCATTTCACTCTGCATGCATGCACGCAAGCTCATCTTCCTGAATCTACCCTCGCCCTTTCAGATCACGTGGATGTGACGCGCCTCTTTCCCTCCTTCATCGTGCCAGACCCACCGGAGGACCAGCTTGGGGATGCGCCGTTCCTCACCGACGAACACAAGGTAATAGCACCCCTGGCATACTGATGTTCCACTTGCCCAACCCCCACCTGTGCGCAACTGTTGGCTCAACTGCAGAGACTTGCTTCTGTGTTCCTTGCTCACCACTGCCTCACGGTTGGCCGCAGATGCAGTTGCAACGGCAAGAACCGTGGCTGGATCTCCTGTGCAAACTTTGCAAGGGATGGAATCGGACGTGCATCGAGGTATGAATGATGCTGAGTTGACGGGACGGGTATCTCAAGTTCAACACACCATCATTCAACGATGAAATCCTGCATCACCCTGCCTGTCCGCTTCTTCTTCAAGTCGTTGTCATGCACACTTGCGTACCCGTACACATGTTCTCTCATCCTCCTTCACGTGTGCGTGCGCCCCTCCCCCGCCCCCACCTCTGTTATCGCGCAATTGGGCGTATGGATTTGAGCAGAGAATAAGGAGCAGCGGGCTTTTGTCCTTCAAACAGTGCGAGGACGCGCTCACCAGACTTGCAAAGTGGTGTCAGAGCCTCCCCGCTCCCCAGGCTTCAAGCCACAAGTCCGACCACGGAACGGTCTCGCGTGCTTCTCCAGCCAATATGCTCACGCTCTACGCCAAGTACCTCGAGGTCATGCATCACGTGTTCCTTGGCGCAGACGTGGACATTCCACGCAGAGTGTAAGCCTCACGCTCCTAGTCTCCCACGCCCCTCGTCTCAGAGTCCCAAGAACCCCCTGTCCCCTGTCCCCTCCTTGCCTTCACCACGATGCAGTGTTGTCTCTGTTTCATCTTTGCGCTGCATTCCTCACTGCGTGTTGTTCTGTGAACGGCTTTCAGCTTAAAGCCAGGGAACCCAGACCAACCACCTGCGCCTTTGCGTGTCCGTCGCTCCATGGGATCGAGACAGCTCAGCTTCTCGACGGATGCCGACTGTTCTGAGAACGGGATCGCTAGTGGAAACTCTACCTCTGGCGTGTAAGTGGTGCACAGGGGATGTGTCGTAGTTGATTTGCCACGTCCTGACCCTTCCCTTCCATGCTGTTGTGGCATGGCCACTGCTGACTCTAATCTGTAACATACACACACCCTCTCACACATACGCTTTCAAGCATACACTCGCACACGCTCACACATTCACACTCACACACAATCACACAATCACACACTCACTCACACACACGCACACACAATCACACTCACACACGCTCACACAATCACACTCACACACGCGCGCACATACTCACATATATACACGCACACACACACTTTCTCCATGCCAATAGCCGCGACGCTTGCAAAGTCACATTCACACACATTCTCGAGCAGCTGAATCCGAAGAGAGACAGCACCAACAGCAAAGGCATCCCCTGGCACAAGGTATGAAGCGAATTGTGATGCATTCCGCTTACACAGTAACTTGCCCCAATGTCCCCGTTCACTGTGCCATGTACACCATTCGTATCGTCTGTTGGGCTATCGGTCGAGTCACGCAGCTTCCTTGTGCGCTGTGCTGTGTACGATTTACCAGTCCACCCACGGCACCGAAGCTTTGGCGCAGACGCTGGACCTTCTCAACCACCTTTGTAAGTCCAAGTGCACGGCCGTGGCTCGTGTGATAATCCTCTGCTCTTCCACTGCACAACCCGACACGCAACGGCTGCAATGAAACAAGAGAATGCGTTCTGCGTTCCATTACAGAACTGTAACTGATGTTCCTCCCTTCCTCGAACTGTTTGGTATGGCGCGTTTTGCTCAGTGCGTGTTGCGCCAACTGCCGACAGCAGCCGTGGCAAAACACCGCGGCGGTATCAATTGGGGCGGTCGTTCAGGCGGATGACGCGGTCACACCGCAGAGCAAATGCAATTGCCATGGAGCACTCGGGCGCCATTGATGTCGATGACCTTGAGAGCGTGTTGGCCCACGTGCTTCGTGTCATCGAGCCCTTCCTTCCAGGGAAGAAGACAGTCACGGGCGACGAAGAGGCCGTTGGGCAGTGCCTGCTGTCTGCATTGAAGATTGTGGAGCTTGTGATTGAGGAAGCCGCCAACACCCGACTCATGGTCAGACGAGCCTGCGTGCTGGCCTGCTTCTTCGCGTGCACGCGTGCACATGTGCGCTTGGCTTAGTGGCTTGCACAAGCAGCAATGTGTGCTCACTGCCTTGCTTTGCTTTGAGCGCTCGTGCATACGCCCATGGACTGGCGACGTGGACACATGCTGCGCCGTGTTCTCTCCAACTCATCCACGAATTCCATGGCCTCTCCCTCCAATATATGCATATGTTGCTCTCCTGTGGGTGTGCGTGCTCTTGAACTGTGGTCTCTGATTTGTTTGGTGCCTGCGTTTGTGTTTGTTGGTTTAGGCTCTCATGCAAGATTTCTACTGCAGCGAACACCCAGAGGAATACCCGCACAGAAGCAAGCAAAGGAAACAGACCGAGTTCAAGCAGCTGCGTGTTGCCCTCGAAGAGGGGAAGTTGTCTGAATCTGATGCACTGGAGTATGTGGTCGAATTGCGCGGCAACTTCAGCTGGCTGACACCCGAATGGAAGCCAAGGTGAGGACGCCTTGTGAAGCTTGCTTGCTTGCCTGCCTGCCTGCTCGATAGCTTCGGCTAATTGTGCACTTTGTGTACAATCGGGGGACGTTCATGCAGTGCTCGTTCTGACAACAACGACATGTAGGTGATTTGCATCACTTACGCGTTCATGCATGCAGAGACTCACATGCACAAGCTAACAACGCGTGCCATCTGCAGGGACAGCAACGCCAGCAGGAGCATCGTCGACTTTCTCATGGGCATGGCCACTTTCGACAACGCGCGGGTCAAGGCGATAGCACCGCGCCTCGTGCATCGTCTCTTCTACATGAACGCAGACCTGTTGGCTGACGCGCGGGCAGCGTGCTTTGCAACAGATGAAGGTAAGATCAGCTTTCAGCTATCTTCGTTGAACATGCATGTGGTTGGTGCGTGTTTGTGTATGTGTGTGTGTGTGTGTGCCTGTGTTTCTTCGTGTGTGTTTCTTCGTGTGTGTGTACGCCTGTGTTTGTGTGTGTATGTGTGTGTGTAAGCGTCGAAATGTGAACAAGTGCGATATCATTGTACCTCGCGCGCTGTAGCGTAGGCGCTGCTCTGGCTGATTCCTCCTGAAATGCATGAATCGCACTGTGACACATGCAGGCACGCGCGAGCTGCACCAGCAGCTCATCAGCATCGTTCCCCAGCTGCGTCATCTTGCCGCTGGGCTTCTCACCGGTGACCAAGCCAAGTATGTTTACTTGCCCCACAGAGTAGAGGGGCTGACAGGCAGTGTGAAATGTGTTACCAAGTGTGTCACACGACGTGACCTGCGCCTCTGTCTTGGTTTGTGACAAAACCACTGTCTTGCCTTGTCATCTCATGATCACCGTCACCCGCCACCGGCTTCACCACCACAACTACTCCACCTCCGCCGCCACCACAACCACCACAACTGCCGACGTCAACCACAGCATGTACACGACACATGTCGCGGACTTGATTGATGAGTGCTACGAAGGAAATGACACAGATGAGCATGACACGGAAGAGCGGCCCGTCCGGCATGACCGCCAAAAACTCGTCGTCAACGCCGGTGTGCCTGACATCCTTTTCGATGTCCTCGACAAGGTACCCTCGCACCCCTTCAATATACAATCCCACGTGTGTCTGATCGCAACATTACTTCCAGACGCCTTCTCACGACTTTCGAACGCCACATGTTTTGTTGCTGTGCGAAAAGCCACAAACGGACAACAGGGTGTTGTGCTGCACGTTCAACCTCCTTCGTGTCCTTGCCGTCAAGAATAGGACCGTTCAGAAGGTCGTGTGTGCTTCATGTTCTGCTTTTGCCTCAACAACATGACGCCATTGGTGACGATGCGGGCTTGTGTATGTCGCTTTGCATATGCGTGTACGTATATACATAGACACACATATACGCATACACACACTCTCTCTGTCCCGCTTTATCCTCAGCTCCTTTGCTGCATTCCTTGCTTTTACACGCTTGTCAACATGCTGTCGTTTTTCGTGGCTTGCAGTTGATGTTCTACAACATGGACGTGATGCTGGGAAACGTGAAAACTCGGGGTGAGGTCAACCCTGGCGATGATGAGCAGCACTGGGAAGACGCGATGGCATTTGCACTGACGGAGGCGTTTTCATACTTTCCGCGACTTTGCTTCACAGTGCGCAACGACGTGAGTACATGGATTATGTGATCAACAACATGATGCAAACTGTTGAAACGTGCATGTCCATAGCTCTGATCATGAACCCCTCCCCTCTCCTCCACTTGCGGTTTGACCGCCTGGTTCGTTAGCATCTTATCAAGCTTGTGCCGATCCTGCGGAGGAAGAAGTGCAAGGTGCCACACTTGCTCTCACTCTTGAGCGCTGTGACCAAGGAAGAAGTTCAGGGCGTCCCCTTGGAGCGCAATCAGGTGCCGTGCAAACCACCAGTACTCTGTGTGCGCTTTACTGTGTTAATGTTGATGCAGAAACAGGTTCCTTGCATATTTCGGGGCCATTCAATTCACTCCTTCGCACACACACACGCACGCACGCACGCACGCACGCACGCACGCACACGCACGCATGCACACGCACGCACACACACACACACACATACATACGCACGCACACGCACGCATGCACACGCACGCACACACACGTGAGTAGGCCATGATCATGCAGTTTCTTACCAAGAGTCGCGCGGAGCTGTTGGAGCCCATCAACACGTTGTGTAAGAACACTCGTTGTGTCGTGTTACACCTACACTTGGCAAGGTGTACTTCGCTGTCTTTGCTTTCAACCACTCATACAATTCGTGCACAACCACGTTGTTGTCTCATTAGATGGCAAGGGCGATACACCAAGCAAGCAGGACGATGTGTCTGACCCTTCTGCAGCTCAGGCAGACATTGAAATGTACAAGTCCAAGCTGCTGCACTTGCTTGCCGACTGCGCCAGCGGCAAGAATGGGCTGGCAGAGAACAAGTGCAGGGAGTTCTTCAGCGCCGACGATATCATCCGAGACCTTGAGGTATGCATCGCACCAAGCTTGCTTCAATGGGCTGAAAGAAAGTAGCGAGGCTCCTCTTTGACTGTGGGCCATGCGATATCTGCTCCCCCCCCCCCAATGCAGCCTCTCACAAACAAGAAACCTCTTGCTCGCGTGGCTGGTTGACTGTTACATTACAACGACACGGCAACTATTGCTTCAACCACCAGGATAACGCTGTTCCACTGAACATCAAGACTGCCGGCTTTCGGTTCATGCTCTGGGTAAGGCGACTTGCACTTGGAACCTCTGGTCTTGCCTTCACACGTTGCACAGTTCATGTTTCAAGCTTGACGTGAGCGTAATGCTGTCATGGTCAAGAACTATTGCTGACGCGTCCCCCTCCCACGTGGTTCCGTATCAGGTGAATCTGGCGACAGAGAAAGCCAACGAAGACGTCCGAAACTTCCTTGGGCGTCTATGGCGCTGCGTTGTCAAAATGGTGGGTGGTGATGCTGACTTGTTGAGGCATGTATGTGTGTGTATATGTGTGTGTGTGTGTGTGTCCATGTGCGTGTGTGCCCATGTGCGTGCGTGCCCATGTGAGTGTGTGTGTGCGCTTGTGTGTGCGCACGTGTGTGTATGTGTGTGCCTCTCTCTTTGTGTGATTGCATGCGCCTGTGTCCACGTTGTCCGTTGGAGTGTACAAGTTATCTTTGCTTCGACACAGGCGACTCATTGCAGGAGCCACTTTGCCTTGGGCTGAACTCAATATCCTCCATGTGACAGGCCGAGAAGTTGCAGGCTGATCAGCGGCTAATGTCGAAATTGCACACGTTTCTGCACGAGACTTATGTTCCGTTTGTTGAGCAGGTGGGATGATTGTGTTCTTGTGAACACCTTGTCTCTTGGAATGCGCTGTACTTCATGTTCCTGTTTGGACGTGTATTCCAACCGAAACCTTGTGCCAATGACTTTACTTCGACGCCATGCATGCACCTAGCCTGACTCACAATGCCTTCTGTGTTGTGGGCTCTTTACAGCTACTGATACGCAGTGACAGCACCGGCAAGGCAACACAAGGACAGGTTACCCCCAATATTGCTGCGAGGTTGGATGCCATGGCCAAGCAAGAACCAAAGGTAAGAGGCACAGGCTTGAGTGAGATTGGTGACATGCTTGCTGCTTGTTGAAGATGAAGAGTTGCAGCGTGTCATCGAAAGCGACGTCACCCAGCTACAACATACATCTCATCTTGTGAACGCACACTGCACACTTGCTTGGTGCTTTTTTTTTTCTTGCAGCCCGAAGCTATTACGGCAATTACGAGGGCAGACTGGGCAGTCCTCATCCGCATGCTGACGATGTTGTCTGCGTTGAAGAACGGTGGAGCACACGTCAGTGATGACTACAAGCAAGACGGTGCCCGCGCTCACAAGTCACTGGATAAAGCCTTCAATGCATTTTCGCAACAGCTGCATCGCCTTCTCAACAAAGGTAAGCGTATGCATCAAGACCAGACGATTGCCTTTGCTTCCTGTTCGCTTGCAGCCCACGTTCCACCTTCCCCTCGCTCACACGTGTTGGGCGCTGGCACGTTTGGTTGACCCCACTGGTGACTTCACCCTGTCACATGGCATTTCTCACCACTTTCTTGCAGACACTGAGTCAGGTGGCATGCGCGTCGTTGAAACACGCTGCCTGGCATGCGGAAAAGAAAAAGAAACCAGAAGTGAAATCGAGCTGCCCCTCCCCAAGACACAGGAGTTTGAGGATGAGGTGAACCTCTTCGCAGAAAACCTGGCCGCCGCCACAGATGAGCATCAGGATTGGGTCAAGCATCTCATTGACTCCCTCGAAGCGGTTCGTCTGAGCTTGTCTTGTCTTGGTTTGGAGCACCTTGCTTGCTTGCCTGCAGCCTCGTTAGCGAATGAGTCATGCCTTCAGCTTTGTACCTGCCAACCTACTATGCCTGACTGACAAGCAATGCACTCACACACTCTCTCACTCACTCTCTCACACACTCTCTCTCACACACTCTCACTCACTCACTCACTCTCACTCACACACACACACACTCACTCACTCACTCACTCACTCACTCACTCACGCACACACACACACACACTCACTCACTCACTCACTCACACACACACACTCTCTCTCTCACTCACTCACTCACTCACTCACTCACTCACTCACTCACTCACTCACTCACTCACTCACTCACTCACTCACTCACTCACTCACTCACTCACTCACTCACTCACTCACTCACTCGCTCACACACACACTCACTCACTCACTCACTCACATCGATGAATGGCCGTGTCTGTCAACACCACCCGCTCATGTTGCTGCGTTTCAGGAACCTGCGCGGGACAAGGCGGTTCAATGGCAGTTTTCTGATCGCCGTCGTCAAATGACGACCAACTGTCGCACCATGCGTGTGATTCGGTACGCACTTGCTTGCCTGCCTGCCTGCTTGCTTGCTTGCTTCGTTTCTTTGTTCATTTGCTTGTTTCGTTTGGTGTTGGCATATACATGTGTGTTCTTCCTTGCTTGTCATTCACGCTTTCTGCTCTCTGTCTGTTCTCTTGCAGTGGGATTCTTCAGAAGCACGCCGAGTCTTCTCCACACGCTGATAGCTCTGACTCGGTAGAAATCCTCCACAATGCCCTGTCCATAACGCTCTGACCGGTTCAGCCTTCTTTGCTACTTACGTATTGTGTCCACTCACCTCCTTCCCATGTCTGGCTTCTTCCTGGCTGAAACAGAGCTCCTTCGAGAGTCTCCAGAACAGGCTCTCCCCGGCAATTGTTTCTATTGTGAAACTCTTTAGGACTGAGAGCCTTGAACTCTTCAGGGAGGGCATTGCCACACTCACGCCTCTCTTACGGAATGGAAACAAGCTTGTGCAGGTCTGATTCCTGTGATTCTTTCCCCTCCCTCCCTGGTTGATGAGAGAAGGCGCGTGGGGAGGAGGGGACGAGATGGGGCGGTGTTGCACCATTGCTCACAGCGTGGGTTCCTTGCCGCATTCACACACCCACGCCTCTCGCGCCTTGTTGCACGCTCGCGCAACGGTCTCATGCACATACGCATGGTATGCGACTTGCGCATCCTCCCAATTCAATTCAGGCACGGATGAACAAGTACTTCAAGGGCACACGAGAGGAGTTCTTCTTCCACGCATTGCATGACAACATGAAAGGGTCTACAGAAGTCATGAAAGCGGTGAGACACTATGGCCTTGGCGTTGTTCGGCTGCATGTGAAGCAGTTGGTCGAGTTGATAACCGTCTTCCCCATGATGTAGGTTTTTGGGGTTCATTCTGATTGTTTGTCTCCATTGCCACTGTAGATCCGCGCTGCACGGCAGATGCAAGACATGTTCCGACCACGCAGTCGTCGAATGCCCAAGACAATCACCGACAAAGTTACCACGGTGAAACACATGTGCTTCCTGTGCATGTGGGGGAAAACGCAAGTTGTGTCGGAATATATCCTTGAGCTACGCTGACACCGACCTTGCGATACGTATGTGTGTGCGTGTGTGTGTGTGCGTGTGTGTGTGTGTGTGTTGTGACCCGTTGCAGATTCGCTCTCAACGCACGTACGACCAAAAGGTCAATAGCCTGCGAAGACGACCCAGACCGCGCAGTGATTACGTTCCCATGGAAGTCATGAAGAAGGTAACCAGCCCTAATTCCTTCTTGCGCCACTGCAGCTACTCAAGGAATGTACGAGATGTTCCACACTGAATCAGTGTGTAAAATGTGATTTCTAACCGTGCACGTGTCTCGTTTCTCTCTTGCTGTGTGATACTTTCACTCTGTGCGATGCCTCACTGTCAACCCACCCAGGCCCAGTCGATGGCACCAGCAGACGCAAGTGCTGAAAAGGACATGGCCAAGCTGTTCGAACGAAGCAACCGCGACCTCATCACCATTCTGCGCCTGATGCAGTTGATGGGCGAGGGCTTCAACACCCAGCTGAAGGAGTACCTGCGGTTCCAAAAAGACAACTACCGCTCGGTGAATTTGCTGGGCCAGACCATCTCCCTCTTTCGAGACCTCATCAGCCGCATCAGCAAGAGCCAGCTCACTTTTCTTGAATTTCAGGTGAGCAGAGAGTGGTGATTGTGTGTAACTACACAATACATGCACAATATACACACATGATCACACACACACACACACACACACACACACACACACACACACACACACACACACACACACACACACACACACACACACACACACACACACACACACACACACACGCACACACAAACGCACATCTTGCCCATCTACTTGTTTCTGTTTCTGTTTCTGTTTACTCGTTCATAACTTCCATCCCCCCCTCCCCAAAGCTCACACGCATGGGTGCGTCCCTGTCATTAGACGATCGTGACGTTGGTGGAGCTCACGCAAGGCTGTCCCACGAATCAAGACGACGCATTCACCAGCCACATTGCAGAACATATCAACCATCTCCTCAGAACGGGCGTCAACGACTTGGTACGAAGACGGAGAGAGGAAGGTGTAGCGTTCTCAATTTGAAGCTCAGACCAGTTGAGCAGGGATTGAGAACGTGTCGGAGATGTATTCAACGAGCTGGTCAATTGCTCACTCATTCTACTGCAACATATATCCCTTCCTCCTCCTCCTCCTCCTCCTCCTCCTCCTCCTCCTCCTCCTCCTCCTGGTTCTTCTGGTTCTTCTTCACACGTTCGTGTTCGTCTGTAGGGCTTCACGCTGCCACAAGAAGCGAAAGGCGCATATCCGAACCGCCGGTGGCGTGCGATACTGCCGTGGCGCAGGTCTGCAAGCATCACAGCAACACCAGATCCAGAACAGCCACCATCGGCGCCAAATCAGCCCTCCCAGCAATCCCAAAAGATGCTGTGCCCGAAACGCGCACGGGTGATCTTTGAGCTGGGCAAGCTTCTCCTGGCTCTGCTTGAGAACGATGATGAAGAAACCAAGCGGCGTGCTGGCGTTATGATCGACATGCTCAACTTTGAAGCTATCGCCGAAACCATGATTGAGTTCTACGAGTGGCAGGAGGTACCAACAACTGACACGTAGAATTGCTCTGCCAAGTGCTTGCTGTCCATGTGTACCTGCAGTCCCCACAAACATACTCACGTGATGCTGGTTGTTGCTTGAATGGCCCTGTCCGTTTCTTGTAGGAGCCTGCATGCGTCCTGAAGTGCGACGAAGACTGGCCAGAATCTCAGGTGGGAGATCTGGAGCTGGAGCAGATTGGGTTCACATTCTACCAAGTTTGGGCACGCTTCAAGGACCTCACGGGCCAGGTCAGTCAATCACGCAAGCACCAGCGCGCAGAGAATTGATGCGTGATCCCAGGCCTTTGCGAAAAGACATGCTTCGGCCTTCTCGCTGCTGATTTGAGTTGCACTTTCATAATCGATGTTGCTCTTGTTCTTGGTGCCTCAGGATTGCTGGGATGGTGTTATGGATGCGGACGACAAGGTTCGTGATGCTTGTGGAGGTGTGGCGAAAAGAATGGTTGTGTGGGTGCCAGAGAAAAGCCATACCACAAAACATGAGCGCCTGGCTGTCAGTCAGGATTTGTGCTGTGTGTATTCCCTCGCTAGCCCCCTCGCCGAACCCCCTCGCTCACACTTTAAGTGCTTGCTTTCGCGCTTGGCTGCCTCATTCTTCTTCTCCTCTCCCACCGTGAAGCGGTTCCTGGAGGCCAAGAAGTTCTACGTCACTGAGGGCTCCTGCCTTGAAGTCGAGTTCTCTGGCGTGACACACAAAGTATCGTGACGATGTGACATGACTCTTTACGTGGTGCATCCGTGGTGTTTCTCGCGTTTAGCCTATGGTTAGCTGCATCGGCCACAATGAATCGAACCACGTGTGTCACCAGTCCTCACTCTTTGGCGATGGCCTCCCTCCTCATCACCGTTCTTCTTGCTTGCAGATTCATTTTTTCGATTCGAAGGCTCCTCAGGTGTTCAACAACGAGAAGAAACGCATCATCTACACAGTCAGCACGGACAACACGCCGCACAAGGAGAAGCTGCAGAAGTTCAAAGAGAAGTGCAAGAGCATTGCCAAGGACGTGGAGCAGCGGGAAAGAGTGGCAAATGTTTTCAAGCCCCTGCTGCATTGGTCGAGCTGGTCCTACAGCCTGATTTGTCTCACCTTGATCATTCAAGCAATTTTGCTTGCATGGGTGACCACAACCGCCACAGCAGAGGGCCGACGGCCAATCCACCGGCCAGGCTGGCTGCCTGACTGGGTACTCCTCGCTCTCAGCATCGCCCACACCGTACTCAGCGTGCTAACAACAGTCTCGCACGTCCTACTTCACCGGCCCACCCTTCCTCAATTCCTGAAGCGGTGGCGCACAAAGAAGGACAAGGCGCAGCCGACTGCAATGTCGGTCCACGATCAGCTACCACAGTGCCCTTGCTGGAGTTGCTTTAACAAGCAGCGCACGGAAGGCAAGCGAACAACATCGGCGGCGCCAGGTCAAACGTGGTCCAAGGCGATGCGGCGCGCTCGCCGAGGACGCCGGAAGATGAAGGACGAAGTGGAGTTTAATGTGACGACAGGCCGAGCCTCGTACAAGCGAACACGGTCGGTAGCACACCGAATGCATTGTGTGTGCGTGTATGTGTGTGTTTGTGTGTGTTGTGTGAGTGTGTGAGTGTGTGTTGTGAGTGTGTGTTGTGTGTGTGTGTGTGAGTGTGAAGGTGGTCGGCTCTCCGAATCTAGCGGAGCTGTGTTTGTGAGGGTGAAGTTTGTGTTTCACCATCACCCCTAGACCCCTCCCACTCTCCCAAGACCCTGCTTTGCGTTCCCCCTTGTCAACCTCGTAACCGGTGTTGTCCAATTGCTGTTCTGTGTGTGTGCGATGTGTTTGCAGATGGCCTTTGCTGTCAGCAACACTGCTGCACCATTTCCTGCTCGTGGGCATGTCCCTCGCCGGCACCCTCTCCAATCCGTTTTTCTTTACGTACCATCTCTTCCACATCATCCCCGTCAACGAAATACTTCGACGCGTGCTCAAGGTGCGTTCTCGTGCTGTGTGTGACGTTGCTCTGTTGCTTGTGCGAGTATGCACACATGCACACTTGTGTATGTGAGTGTGCTTATGTGTGTGACGGATTGAGGGTGTGAGATGATGTTTGCGCATGTGTAGGGGCGTCTTGCGTGTGTGTGTGTGTGTGTGTGTTTGCGCATGTGCGTCTTTGTGTGTGCATGTGTGTTTGCCTCTTTGCCTTGTGCCTTGGCGGCTCTTTGTGTCAATGCTCACCGACGATCTTGATTGGGGCTCGCAGGCGCTCGTAAAACGGTTCATCGACCTGATGCTGGTGGCAGCGTTGATCGTTGCTATGATCTTCACCTACTCCATCCTTGTGTTTGTGTATTTCCGTGATTCCGTATCCCGCGAAGATGGCTTCTGGTGCGACACGTTTGGCCAGGTAAGAGAGTTGCTTGCATGTGAGGGAGTGTGGGTGTGTGTGTGTGTGTGTGTGTGTGTGTGTGAGAGAGCAAGTGAGTGAGAGAGTGTGAGAGGGATTGGTCGTTTGCACTGTGTTGTGTGAGCGATTGCATGCAGTGTTGTGTGTGTGACCGATTGTACTTTGCACTGTGTTGTGTGTGTGTGTGTGTGTGTGTGTGTGTGTGTGTGTGTGTGTGTGTGCTCTTCGACAAAGGGCCACAGAGGCAGGCATTTTGTGCACGAATATTGTGCCACATCAACACACCTGCACCCTCGCACCAGAGAAGGCAACACAGGGCCGCTTTTATTCATTGCTTCATGTGTCCCTATTGCACGGTGTATCTTCATGGTTGCAGTGCTTCTTGTCCAGTGTCCGCTTTACCATGATTGAGGGCTTTGGCGGAGTTCTGGTCCCAGAGTCGTCGGTTTGGCACACAAACGCTGGTCGCGCCATATTCGACATGTGCTTCTTCATCCTGGTGACCTGCCTTGGAGGTGGCTTGATCCTTGGCATCATCATCGACACGTTCCAGGACCTGCGCAACGACAAGTGGAGCATCGACGACGCCATGAAGAGCAAGTGCTTCATTTGCGGGTGCGTTGTGCAGCAGCTGCTGTCGTGTGTGTGTGTGTGCGATTATGCGATTGTGTGTGTGCTAGTGTGTGCAATTGTGTGTGTATGTCTAGGTATGTGTGATTGTGCGATTGTGCGAGTATGTGTGTGCTTGTGTGTGTGTGTGTGTGTGCTTTGGAGAAACACAGGTGAAGAGCATCACATATTGTCCTTGCCTGGTTGGCGTGTGTTCTACGTTATGTGTATCGAGTGAGCATGGCCGCATTCCCTTGACAGTCCACACATCAGATCCTCATCCACCGCCGCTTGTTTCCTGGTTTCTGCCATTTGTGACCTGCCGTGCAGGCGCACGAGTTTCCAGCTCAGCCAGCAACAGGGGGAGACGGCCCGGGCTTCGGACTGGCAGGAGCACGTGAGCGAGCAGCACAACATGTGGGACTACTTGTACTTTTACATCTACCTCCTGCACAAGGACGAGAACGAGTACACCCATCACGAACATAAGGTGTTCTACATGAAGAGCAACGAGCTTGAGTTTCCAACCCAGCAAGGCAAAAGCCTCGTGTCCGAGGCCGCATGCTGTCTTTAAGCGCACACCACGTGCGCAAGCGTGTATGTGTACTTGTATGTGCGTGTGTGTGTGTGTGTATGTCGGTATGTTTTGGTGTAGCAAGAGGCATAGGCACAGACCTGACGGCGTGTTCGATCGTTCATCCAAGCGTCTGTGTGTTGTGTTTTGCTTCGATTTGTGTTAGCACCACCCACCTCTCTACCTACAGTCCTCGAGTCCTCCATTTGAGTTCCCTACACTGCGTTTGTTTTTCCTACAACGTTTCGATGTCCCTTAAACCGCTGAGTCACAGATGGCAATCCACACACGAGTGCGTCACATCCCACACGTGCCACCAACACTCATGCAACCACCACAGTATTCACCCTCAAGTGCTTGCTTGATTTTGCTTGCGTGCCCCAACGCAGCCGTTGTCGAAGATGATTGTGTACTCATTGATTTGGGTATGTTTGTGTTGGTGTGGTTTTGTGCACATGTATGTGTGAGTGTGTGCGTGTGTTGTGTTCATGATCCAAGCAAGAGAGGCAAGAGCAAGGAGGAAGGAAGGGAGGTCGACTACAATGTGGGAGTGAATGAACACAAGGCAAGCAAGAAGGAAACAGCATGGCAACGTTTTAGGATGACACAAAAAACACAAGGATAAACACGTTCATCGTGTGGAAATGGTGTGTGTGTGTGTGTTTGAGTGAGTGAGTGAGTGTGTGTGTGTATGTGTGTGTGTGTGTGTATGTGTTGGGTTGGTGTGGTGTCGGGGAGCGATTGGTGGGGAGTGCTTGTGGAGGGTGGTGTGCAATTACACGACGCTGAAACCGTTATCGCCGTGGCCATGGGCGTCGTCGTCGTCGTTGTCTAACAGCCTAGCTGAGGAAGAGTCGTTGGTTGGTGGTGCAAACTGCGGCGGCGTTGCCGTTGGCTCGTACGGTGGCGACTCCTGCCTGCGTTCTTCGTAACCGGCCCCGTTGTTGGCGGCGGAGGCGGACGACGGTTCGCCAACAACACCATTCGGCTGCTGCTGGGATGGGGCGGTCCCAGCATTGCCGCTGCCGTCATCGTCGTCGTCGTCGTCGTCGTCATGGTGGACGTGGGCGAGGTGCTCGCGGGCCGCGGCCTCTGCGCGCTGCGCCAGCGCAAACACTTCAGGATGCTCCTGAAAAGTGTGTGCGTGTGTGTGTGAAGGTGTGTGAAGGTGTGTGAAGGTGTGTGTGTGTGTGTGTGTGCGTGTGTGTGTGAAGGTGTGTGTGCGTGTGAAGGTGTGTGAAGGTGTGTGTGCGTGTGAAGGTGTGTGAAGGTGAGACAAAGTATAGATCATAGAACAACGGGCGAGGGGACCAGCAAAACGCACAAGCAAAAACGTGTGCATGGACAGGCAGCGCGACAACCGCTCCCTTCTCACTGCCTTTCTCCCTCTGCGTTGACCACAACACAACAAACGCACTCGCTGGTTGGTGATCTTGCTTGCGGCGACGGCGTCGAGGTAGAGCTTGCGCGGGATGCACACGAGCACGACCTTGCTCGTCTTGATGCGGGCGGAGAAGTCGCACACAAAGCCAGGCTGTGTGAGCGCGGAGAGGCAGATGGCGTGGTAGGGGCCGGCCTCAAACTGCAGCCGATCCTTGCCCACAATCACCTGATGGAAGATGACGATGATGATGACGAGAGAGGAGGGGTGAGGGTGAGGGTGAGGGCACAAATGTGTCAAATTTGTATGCATGTGAGAGAAGAAATTGGCGAGTGAGGGGCAGACACGCAGCGACACACACAGACACACACAGACACCCATACACAGACACCCATACACAGACACACCCACACCCACACCCACAGACACACAGACACACAGACACACCCACCCACACACACACAGACACACACACTCAGACACACACAGACACCCATACACAGACACACACGCCGACACACCCACACTCACACCCACACCCACACCCACACCCACACACACACCCCCCCACACACACAGACACACACCGTCAAGCTTCCTTCGACGACGAGGGTGAAGAAGTCTCCAGGCTCGCCCTCGCGATAGAGCCACATCTCGTCCTCGGTCAGATCCTCCTTCTGCAGCAGACGCACGCACTCGGGCCGCCCAAGCAGCCGCTTCAGCACTGGTGGCGCAGGGAACAGCCGTGAGCGACGCAGTGGGCCAGGTGGCGGCGGCGGTATGTTTGGGAAGGAGAAGGCAGAAGGACAAGAGACGAACGAAGAGGGGGGGGGGGAAGAGGAGGAGGGCGAGTTGACAGCAATGACCTAAACATGCACGCGAGTGCACACAATCACACCGAGCACACTCTCAGACACACGCACATGTTAGTGACTGACTGACCAGCACCGCCAATGATGTTGGGGCTGAATTCCTCAAATTGAGTTGCCAGGTACGTGAACACGGCCAGCGCAACCTGTGACGCAGGGGCAATCAAGAGAATTGTCGCGTGAGATGATGTAAGGGAAATTCATTGAAGCGGATGTTTCACACACGCACACACACACACACACAGACACACACAGATACAGACACACACACACACAGACACACACAGATACAGACGCACACACACGCACGCACACACACACACGCACACACACGCACGCACACACACACACACACACACACGAGTACACACATTATCGGAGAGGCGGAAGCTTGTTTCCTCGCGGGCAAAGGCGGCTGGCGGGAGCGCAAACGGCTTGTGGTCATCGCGACGCACGAGGGCCTTGGTCTTGTTGTCAACTGCAGGTGCAGGGACACACAACGTGAGGTTGTGACCGGACAACAAAAAGAGCGACGCAGGTACAAGGACGCGCACGCATATACAGAGGTACACACGTGTACGGACAACCAAGCAAACAAACAACAAAACAAAGACGTACGGTATCGGTCTGTCTCGTCGATGATTTCGTCCTGGATGATTTCCTCAATGACGTCCTCCAGCGTGGCAATGCCGACCACTTCTCGCACGGGGTCCCGGTCAGGATCCTGCAGCACACGAGCAGAACACCAGCAGTGGTGACGTGAGGTGCGGTGACGTGAGGTGACGCCAGGGTAGAGCAGCCCCAACAGAAAGACACACACAGACACCCACACACCCACACACCCACACACACCCACACACAGACAGACAGACAGACACACACACACACACAGACCTACCCCCAACACACACAATTGCACCACCGTCTCCCACCTCGGCGTTGATGTGGATGACCATGACCATGTGGGTGCGCCCCTTCTTGAAGAGGTCGAGCATCTCGTCCAGGGCCGTCGTCGTGTACACCTCCTCAATCGGGTGCTTGTAGTACTTGATCACCGTCTCCAGCGGCGTCTTGTCGTCCGGGTCAATAAACGCCAAGTCCTTGACATACAGCAGGCCGACAATGTTGTCACGCTCCCCGCGGTATGTCGGGATGCGGCTGTGTCCGTCGTCGATGATGCGCGAGACCGTCTTGAAGTCGAGGATGGAGTTGATGTCGAGCATGAACACGTCCTCCATCTTGGTCATGACGTCCGCCGCCGTCTTGGTCTTGTACGTGAGGGCGCCCGTGATGATGTCGAGTTCGTCGCGCTCCAGGTCGTTGTACGGGTCCTGCATCTTCAGCAGGTGCAGCAGCTGCTTGCGCATGTACACGGCGCCAACCTCGTCCCCGAGGATCTTGTCCAGGACGACGCTGATTGGATACGCAATGGGGAACGTGACCACCATGAAGAACTTGGTCAGCCAGATGGTATACGCGCCGACAGCAAGCGCGTGGCGCGAGCACACGGACTGGGGCACAATCTCGCCAAAGATGACAATGCCCGCGGTGGAGCCGAGGACACCGGCCAGGCCGCCAAAGAGGCCGTCGAGGAAAATGGCGAGGGTGGAGTTGACGAGCACGTTGCCGAGGAGGACGGTGCAGAGGAGGAGGTTGCCGCGGCGGCGCAGGGGCAGGATGGTGCGGGCATGCTGCTGTTCCTTGCCCTCTCCAGAGGCAGAGATGACCTCCAGCTCGTTTGGCGCCAGGGACATGAGACCAAGGTTGAGGCCGGAGAACAGACCAGACAGGCCCAGCAGCACAATCAGGAACACAATCTGCCACGGGCAAGGTGCGTTGGTGGGAAGGGTTGGGGGGTTGGGTTGGGTTGGTGAGATGTGGCGGAGCATCTGAGGTAAAGTCAAGCAAACGGACAAAACAATGCAGACGAGACATGGGCAGGTGGACAACAGGTATATGGTACGTGGAAACACAGATGCAGAAAGACAGATACAGACAGATACAGACAGGCACACACACACACACATACACACACACACACACTGACAAGACACATTGGCACACACACACGCACACAGATACATGAGTGTGAACATACAGAGACGGGAAGGGGAATGCCTGCTGCGGTTGCCTCCGCGGTGATGTAGACATCATCGCCCTGCATGCAGGAAACGAGTGATGTAAGTCCCAAGACAAAACCTGAATGCACAAGGCACGCCACATTGCCTCCAATACATTCACACTAAAAGGCCACGCAAACCTCAGCTCACACACCTGATGGGTTCCGTTAAGACAAAAGTAGAGGTCACTTGATGTGGTTAGGGACACCGTCACACGCGCTGCGATGCCCCGGGAGTGAGGGCAGGCAGGGGAAGAAGAACACCCAAGCATGGGTCATGCATGAGATTGCAGCCAAAAGGCAACACAAAGGAGCCAACACACACACACACACACACACACACACACACACACACACACACACACACACACACACACACACACACACACACGCACGCACAGCGCACCTTCAACGCCATCAGGGGAGGTGGAAGAAATGGGAGAGGCGTCAAAGCGCTCCACGCAGTTCTGTTCCGTGTTTAATCACGCAGCAATGTCAGAGCACCACCACTTGATGAGTGAGGAGGACACACTTGCATACTGGTGCAACACACACACACATGCAGACACACACACACACACACACACACACACACACACACACACACACGAACACATGCAGACGCACACACATGCAGACACACACACACACACACGCACACATGCAGACAGACAGACACACACACACACACATACACAAACACACATACACATACACACACACACGCACCGTTGCGGATTCCGTGAATGTGACCACGTCGCCGACGCCGAGCCCTTCTCCAAAGAGAAGCAACTCCGTCTCCGTGTCAGTGGTCACCGTCCACACGCCATCGAGGTTCTGCCACAACACGAACAACGCCGACACAAAACAAAACAAACAAACAGGACATGAGCGCACGTGCGAGGTGAAGCCGCCCCCACGTGGGGAGAAGAAGGCAAAGCCCGCCATAGCAGGCAAGAGTGAGTCTCTTGGAACACAGGGCAGGCCACCCCACAACCGTGGTCACCACCAGGACTGCCATCAGGTTCAAGCAAACGCCACCACGATCACCATCACGAAGAGGGTGACGTGATAGTGCCGTGATCACGCTTCCTTCCGTACCTTGAACTTGTCATTGAGGGGGAAGTAAGAGCGGACGCTCTGTGCGGCTGCGGTTGTGGCTATTAGGGCTAGCACAGCAGCCACGCATATCAAAGGATTCGGAGGCATTCAAGTGACTTGCTCTGCACAGGTCGCACAGGAGGGCTCAATTGTCTGGGGGTGCGTGGGTGGGTTGTTTGTTGGTGTTGGCTGGCTGGGTGCGCGCGTGGGAAGTTGGAGCGTGTGGCGTGGGTTGCAGGTGGTGTTCGCGGTATTGGGGAAGAAGGGCTTGAGAAGAAAAGTGCTGATGTCAGCAGTTTTCATCAGCAATCCACGTGTTTGTGTGTGCAGAGAGGAGACGACAGCAACAGGAACACACGAAGACAAGGAGGAAGAGAGGACAACTTGACAAGATGGGGAGGTTTGATGTGGCCAAGCTGCGGTATCTCGATGCCAAGCAGCTGCGCGTCCTCCACGTAAGTGTATTTGTGTGTGAGTGTGTGTGAGTGTGTGCATGTGTGTGTGTGTGTATGTGCATGTATGTGTGTGTGTGAGTGTGTGTGTGTGTGTGCATGTGTGTGTGTGTGTGTTGTGTGTGTGACTGGCGAGGTTGGTGGAATCGATCTTGGCGTCTCATCATCAAGCGTGCTTCCTATTTGCCCCGGTTGCAGGCGTGCGAGCTCGGCATGCGGAATCATGAGCTCGTCCCCAAGGAGATCCTCACAAACAGTGAGTGCTCTGTGTGTATGTATGTGTGTGTGTGTGTTTATATGTGTGAGGGTGTGTGTATGTGTGTGTGTGAGGGTGTGTGTGAGGGTGTGTGTCTGATGTCTCGCACTTGCACTGGCAAACAATCGCAAATGCTGCACTCGCACACACACACACACACACACACACACACTCACACTCACACCCTCTCACACACATATATGCAGTCACGAAAATGAGGTCTGGATCTTTGCACAAGGTGGTGATGGAGCTGCTTCGCCACAAGCTCCTCGGCTACAACAACTCAAAGAGTAAGTGTGTCTCATCACTGCCCTGATGCCGTAATGCTGCGTCTGCTGGCAGTCAGCCACCACGCCTCCCCTGACACGTGCAACGCCCCTGACATGTGTGTTGTGCCACTGTTCAACAGCAACAAATGGGTATCGCCTGACAACCCTCGGGTACGACTACCTCGCCCTCAAGACACTGGCAAACAGAGACGTTGTCCTCAGGTGTGTGTGTGTGTGTGTGTGTGTGTGTGTGTGTGTGTGTGTGTGTGTGTGTGTGTGTGTGTGTGTGTGTGTGTGTGTGTGTGTGTGTAAGCTTCCTGCCCAACTTTTTTTCCCCTTCTTGGGTCCATCTCACCGCTCACCGCAAGGGATCAACCCCCCCCCCCCGCCTTTCCTCCCTCTTCGTTTGCCTTCCTTGCGCGTGCACAGCGTGGGCAACCAGATTGGCGTGGGAAAGGAATCTGACCTGTTCATTGTCGGCGGCCAGGACGACGTCCAGTATGCCCTCAAAATCCACCGGTGCGTTGTGTTGTGTGTTGTTCGTTGTGTGACGTGGATGCGCGCTGTTGTGTTTGGGAGCACTCGTGTGTGCATATGAGGGTGTGCGCACAAGCAAGTGTTTGTGCACACACACACACACACACACATTTGCTTGCGCATGCGTTTGCACCGTGTTGTACTGTGTCAAAGTATTGAAGGGAAGTTGCGTGGGCTCATCTTGTGCACGCACCACATCAACCCCGCCGCTGGGTCCAGGCTTGGACGCACGTCCTTCCGCAACATCAAGAACAAGCGCGACTACCACGGCCACCGCAACAAGGCTTCGTGGCTCTACCTCTCCCGCCTGTCGGCCGTCAAGGAGTTTGCATACATGAAGGTGCACACTGTGCTTGTGTGTGTGCTTGTGTGTGTGTGTGTGTACTAGTGTGTGTGCATGTGTGAGGTATTTTGGGGAGAGCGGCCAAATCGAGACTCATAACTAGATTTGTCTACGTATACCACGTGCCACTTGAAAATGGTGAGTTATTAAGTCTTTTTTACGGGAAGGCCCTATAGAGGAAGGCGGTCCCCACTTGGATCACCGATTTAGTTTATCCCAGTTTTAATCTTTATTCGTTC